GGTTTTAGTGGGTAAACAGCTTAGCTGGAGTCCCACACAACCCAGAGCGACAGACCACCAGCTCTGGGAGTGCATAAAAGAGCATTTCCCAAACCTCACAGGAAAAAAAAGGCGCTTAATTAATAAGGTTAGCAATCAGCTAGCATGGAGAGAATGCGATGCTATGGCATACGGATGCCGAAGCTGACAAATTCTTAGAGAAGGCTACGAGTTTTAAAGGATAACTACCGAAAACTCGTAGTACAAAAAAGGGTTTATTTTAGTTGGTAAGAATCCAACACTACCCAGGGTTCGGAACACTAAGTGTCTTCGCGAAGATTTTTATTCCTCCAGCCGCCGGACAAACAAAAAAAAATTAGAAATAATAAAAACATTATTGAACCTTTGCACCTTTTACTTTTCATCGAAAAATTGTAGGTGACGAAGATTTCTTAACCGACCTTCGCAGTGATAAGATGTGATATTAATATATTTAAAGCAAGGTCGTTTCAAAGTATTACCAAAGAATTCTAAGAATCTACACACATTTATGGCTTTAACGATAATATACAGGTCTCCTTCAAAAGGAAGGATGAAACCTGGGAGTTCGCAAGAATCCGAATCGAATTATGCCTCCCAGAATGGTGAGTTCAGTAAACCACAGTCGAAAAAGCGGGGTAAAAAACTGAGGCCGACTTAGCCAACTCCCACAACGCAACACCTGATGCCAAATGAATAGCTCTAAATCAGCATGTTAAAACCGACAAAAACTGAACAACACGCAACAACAGAACATCAAAACGATTTCCGACATTTTCGCTCACATTTACAGCGAGCGCAATACCCACTATCACCAGAGTCCAACTTGCAAACAGTTGGGAAGAACTCAGCCCCAGGAACAAGGTTGTCGTCATTAGGCAAGATAACTACTTTCTGATAAGAACCAACCATGATGAAAAAACAACTGAAATTTTACAACAACATTCCAAGTATTCCAATAGGCTACCAATCAAACATAGGACCATTTCAAAATAATACCAACAAAGTTGAAATTCGATTTTCAACTATTAAGAAATTCTACAAGTTTTCGAAAAATATGTCAAACCTATACAGGGTGTTAATGTAAACATGTTATAAACGTTTAAATTTATATTTTAAATTCGCCTTTATTTAATTGAATACAACAGACAAGATTTGCTGGCAGCAATAATTGTTCAAATTATTTTAACAGTTTAAAGTTAAAAGTGGATGCTTTGACATTTATGTCTGATTAAACTGGAAGACTATTCGTATAATGAGTTTGCTGACATGCTACTGATCTATGGTGAAACAAATCGCAACGATAGAGCCGCTTGTCGGCTTAGACGTACTCCGTTGCACGCAATGTTCGAGAGAGTTAGGCGGCGGTCCCACGGAACCACCGGTGGCCATCAAGCAGATTTCCAACATATGCGATTCCCATTGAACGGTCTCACAGAAAGCTTCACTCGTCATCCACTACCATCCACTGCTAACCACCGTTTTGAAAAAATGTGGTAGTTTGGTAGAAGGCGGTGAATGCGCGCATGCGATTTAGAAATAATATCGGCTTGGTTAGGGCACTTTCATAAAAAGTGGAAGCCGGTGAATAATTGCTGTGAGACCCTTCGTTGCAGGTTCCATAATTTTAGTCGGTGGTAGTGGGTGATAGTTGATGACAGTGGTTGCTGTGGGACCGCTGCCTTAATCGGCCTCTTCGAAAAGCAGGTTCGCTACGAATTCAGAAAGTGGACAACGGAGCACAGAGAACTCCATCTTTTGAAGAGGAAGTTTTAAATCAATTTGAAGAAAATCTCCACATACCAAGTACTAGACAGTAGGTTCGAGTATGAATTCATTTCTCGTCAGTGTATGAGAAATTGTGCATGAAGAATCAGTTTACCCATACCACACCCAAATGGTACAAGCTCTAAACCCAAACGATTACCCCAATCGAAGAAATTTTGCTAATGGTGCTGCTGCCAAGCAGAAAACCCGAATTTCTCAAAATCAGTCCTCTTCACAGACCAAGCTGTATTTACCAGAAAAGAAACTTTTAAGTAGATAAATAATCATGGGTGGGCTAATGAGAATTCGTATTCCACCAGCTTGCGGGTGCACAAGCAGTAGGGATGGTCGGTATTTAACGTAACCGCGAAAATAACAGTGTTCCAAACGTGTAAACTGAAAGCGTAGTTGCAGCTAGACGATTTAATCGCTATGTTTTGGAACCGTCTCTTAAACCGAAACACGGTGCGCACTTCGCACCAGTACAGAACCGATGCGACACCGTCGAGCGATCTATCCAGCTGCAGCCGCTTGCCGATTTAAACCGTTGTTTTTGGAACCGTCTCATAAACCTGAAAAAGTGGTGCGCATCAACACAGAACCGATGCGGTATCGTCGAGTGCTCTGTCCAGTTGCAGCAGTTTCAGTAACCATTTATCAACGGAAAATATGTTGTGTGTAATTGCGATTTATTTGTGATGATTGCGCGATGACTGTGTATGACTTTTCGTTTACAAGAATTACTGTTCAGTTCTCCAGGAACCAGCGAACATTTGTTTAGTTGCTGCGATGATATAATTCAGCATTTTTAGTCTATACGTAGTTAGTTTTCTGACATTTTGTAATAAATCTTAAAAAAAGGAATTTCTTTCAAGAAACTTTATGCCCAAGGAGCTATATGCCCATTACCAGCAAACTAAGCAGAATGTGCACTTGCATATGAGCTATGATCAAACTGAGAGTCTAAGACATAAATTCATTTACAATACAATTTAGCAAGCTGGCCATTTTTAGTCAGATAAAATGAAAGTTATTTGAATAAACGTTGTAAGGTCGACATATTTTTTTAAATTATTTTTTGGTGGTACCAAAATTAACTGGAGTAATACTTCGTCCAGGTTTGCCAAACACGCATTTCTGTTTGTTTTTATTGTGGATTATTTAATGTTATTGTGAAACGAAATGCGAGCGATTATTTTCTAAAGCGGGTGCTATCGTAATCGCACGAATAACTAGAATCACTAAAAAGCATCTGCAAACAATTTTATTCTTAAATGTTAATTAATTTTTAAATGAAAATGATATTTTTAAACATTTTCGCATATAAACCGTATATTTTATTTAATCACCCTAGTTTATTATCAGTTTTTTGTTCTTTAAGTAGTTACTTCTGATCCATGTTTTGTTTTTTATTTTTAAATATTTTATTTTAAGTTTACCAATGTGAAGAATTATGTTTTTAGTAAAGAAAATCATTATATATCATCATTATTTCTACTATCATCATGATTCTTCATTTTTAATAAAGAATTTAAAAAGTAACATGTTCCTTTTTAAACCTATTACCAAGGTGAAACTGGAAGGTTGTAACCTGTTACCAGTAGTGGTTTCCCTCAACATGTGTACCGGGAATCGGCTCAACAGTAGATTAAGGCCGCTTTTCACCAAGCGATCTTAAACCAGTTTAACGTCTGAAACTCAGTTTGACGCGCTCAGTTAAACTTAGTTTGTGTTTAAACGCGTTTAAAGAAACGAACTGGCCAATTTTGGGCGTTTATAGCTTTAAACGCCGTTTAAAGACTTGATGTAACCTCACTGTCTAAAGAATTGTTGTTGTTGTCGGTCGAGGGAAAAATAATAAAATAGAAATGGCACGTAGGTCAGTTTATAACTTAATTTTCGAAGAAGTCTACGAATATTTTATTGTTACTTACATACTTTGTCTGTCCTGTCTGTAATTGTGTCGCCAATAAGCCAACTTCTTGGTGCTTTGCGATTTTATGTCACAGAATGCATGCAAATTTCTGCTGGAGATTTTAAGGGTTTCAGCACAACTACATTACATCCAATTGTACATAGGGTGAGTTCCGCGATAGAGCTGGTCTTCTAGCCTTCTGGGTTTTGTGAGATTCCAGCCAAGCTGTTTACCCAGCAAAATCATTCCTGACTCCTCCGCTTGCCTTGTTTATTCAATTAATTTTATAAGGATCTGAAAGGGCGTCCGCAGGACTTCATTTTCTATTTGTTTAAGTAACTTTTCAAATAGAAAATCTAATAAGAACGTGTATACCAACGCCATAAGCCGTACACGAATGCACAAACCGGGCATAAACAAAGCAAACTTTAAAATTTTACGGTTGGTTCGAGCAGAAATTTTGGGCTTGATAACGGGTTATTGACGTCATGGACCCAAATGGTTCCTTGATAAGATGATTTTGCGATGAGAGTCGTAATATTTCTCACTTTTGCAAAGATGCCAGTGTTTCCAGTTTCTTAAACTGCGTTTCAATAAACACAGTTTCTGAAACGTACCGAAGCTCTGGTGAAAACGGTCCGTCGTTAAACGCGTTTAATTTCGGCGTTGAACATAAACTTAGTTTCGTCAAACTGCGTTTCGCTTGTTTCTGGTAAAAATGGGCCTAAGAGATTACGGTTCATAGTTAAAATAACAAGCGGATCGCCGTAGCACATGGCATAATGGTACCGTTGACGTTTCATCACTTGCCGCTTCGTGGCGGTAGTTTTAAGTAGTTATTTTGTCTGCATATAAGGACAATTAACTAAGTCTGGTAGTAGAGAGTAGAAGAAACTGAAAATACTAAATGTTTTATTGGATTGCCAATAACGATTTTTTTAATGCTTTTAAGTAATGCTACCTAGGCTAGATGTAAAATAAAATTTTAAATGAAACCAAAATCAGATTTCCATCAGAACATTAATTTATTATTCAGCAGTTTTACATATTAGTGGTAATTTTTTTGTGGAAAGAAATACCGAGTATATCTAATCCTTAGGCCCATTTTCACCAGAAACAAGCGAAACGCAGTTTGACGAAACTAAGTTTATGTTCAACGCCGAAATTAAACGCGTTTAACGACGGACCGTTTTCACCAGCGCTTCGGTACGCTTCACAAACTGCGTTTATTGAAACGCAGTTTAAGAAACTGGAAACACTGGCATCGTTGCAAAAGTGAGAAATATTACGATTCTCATAGCAAAATCATCTTATCAAGGAACCATTAAGGGGGGATATTCTGTGAGAAAATCTTATTGCTGATTGGTCGCCACAAAACGTCAAGGCACAATACGTCAACCGTACCATTATGTCGTGTGCTGGGGCTATTCGCTTGTGTTAAACAAAAGTTGTTACTTGAATTAAGTGGAGTTTGATTGAATGGTAACAATGCAGTTTAGACGGACAAAGTTAATTAAACTTTTTGGAAACTAATTTGGAACCTTTATTAGAAGATACCAGACGTACGTCAAACATGTTCCAATATGACGGAGCCGCCGCTCATTTCTCGAGGCGCGTTCAAGAATAACTCAATCATCGTTTTGGTGATCACTGGATTGGTCGCGGTATACTGGGCCTTTTTTTCTTTGGGGGTATATTAAAGCCTTAATACCAACACTTTTGTATTAAATTAATTAAAGACTCAATTAAAATACATATAAAGTTAAAACTTTAATCCTCTGTATTTACGGAAAAGAGACGTCTGTGGCTATTCTGCTATTTAGTTTTTTGCAGCATTTATTGAGAGGAGATACCCTCAAAGTTTATAAAATTATTACATTAACACCAATTTGACTCTCTACTTTGTAATGATTCGAATTAATGACACAAATGGGTATATGAGTTTAAATACTGAGGACGATAAATATTATCCAGGCAAATATTATTCCAGTAAATATTGTTTGCATGCCCTTGCAATGTTAAAAATGTTATAATCACGTGAGATTAGAAATTATGAACATTTCTGATCGGACATGATAGTAGTAAAAATTGGATATAAAATATATTGTTTGGACAAACATGGGCCTTTTAGTAATTCTGTTAACTCACCCTCTCTTGTTGTTCTTTATGAACTGGTTTAAAACAAACACACAATAAAAGTGGAAAAATAGGCAAAGGCTCACACTAGCTTTCGCGAAAATGTGATTTCAAAAGCGGCATAGTTTAGAATTGTTTGGAATCAATGCCAAAATGTCTAAAGTCCACAACACGTTTCCTGCCAATAAACATTTACAACTGCTAAAACAACAGGCTATATACGTGTGTAAATAAGTTACAGTAATAATAGATATTTGGATTACTTGGATCACAAAAAATTCGACCGGTATTCTAAAATTCTAACATTCTACTGAACGTCAATGGCAAATACCATTTATCTCTGACTTTTATGCTATCGCTAGATAAATTAAATATACATTACCTAAGCTGCTCGTATTATCTAATTAAACCGTTAACTAATTACCGGATTTAAAATTGCGACTTAATTTAAACTGGGTTCAAAAATCATGTTGAAAGTTGCGGAAAAAATCAACAATGTTGACGGTATTTGCCACCTTCTGTCAAACTGCTAAAAAATGTCAAGGTCATTGCGTTGGTCGGAACAAATTAAAGGCAGTATTGGAATGAAGCGGCATTGCCAAACAATATGTAAGCGAATGTTACACCGCGTGTGTGGAACACATAAGCAAAAAAGGAAGAGAGAGACAGCAACTGAGACTCTCTCTTGCCTCTGCTGATTGTAATTAGCAGAGATTTATAAAGACTTGTTTATAAATGCTAACCAAGCCTCAGTTACTCTTTGGCTCTATCAATAACATGTTTTTTTTACAAACAAAAGACGCAAAATAGCAGCAAAACATTAATAAGCCGAATGACTAGCGGTTTTTTCTCAATTAATGCGCGAATACAGCACTTCTGAACTCAATGTTGAGCCATAAATCATCAAGAAAACAGATTTAAGTTTAATTATTTTTGAAATAATGTTATTTAAATCTAGAAATTAAAAAATTGTCCGCTTCGAATAATATTCAAGTGAGCGTTTCACGAGATAATTACGTAGATTCTTTGCTCGCGCGATAATTTGTAAACGGTAGATGTTTGAAGCTGCTTTTGAGCACATTTAGTCAGTGGAAATTTCAACCTCTGATACAACGTCAAGTTATCCTTCAAGAGGATGAAGTGGCTATTTAAAGGCCCGCGCGGATCAAGGGGATCAATCGAAAATTCGAAAAATATTGTTTTGTCAGTCCATAAATGCTTAATAATTAATAATGAAGATGTTAGTGTATATAAATTAAATGAAAGGATTATTTTTTATAACGGCTTGTGCAGACAGATAACTTCTTTATAATGTTTATATATTATGTTGTATTCCTTGTTATATAATAACAATTATAATTGTAGTAATCTACTCTATAGAGTGGATTATCAATTAATATTTTATTGCTCGCACACTAGACCAACTATTCAGTGTGATTAATTCATTATGCGAATAGAAATATAACATTGTCCAAAAGTCGACTCCTAATGTCAAGATTATCATAACTCATTTAATCTACAGGCAAATATGATATAAAGTCAGCCAGGGTCAGTAAGGACTACATAATTCAAGTTAAACACGCATAACTGCATGGTAAAGAAAATAATTTTCGCCTCAAACTGGCGATTCTAGTCCCGTGGAGTCTTTAAGCAATAGAAAATCGGACTAACGATTGTCGCCACTGTGATGTATACAGTCACTGTACTCGACGCCATAACTGACTAACGGATGGTCAGTTAAGCGGATATATATCCGATATACAGGGTTGCTCATTAGTGCGTCAAAGTGCGATATCTCAGTAAATATAAAGTTTACAAGAAAATTCGTCCAACGAAAGTTTTTCACGTTTAAAAGGTCCACATTCTAAAATTACTTTCCAATATACAGGGTGCATCATAAACGTGTGGTAGTTACCAACTCTGGTTTTTTAAATGAAACCCCCCCTTTTTTTTGTTATTTTCAGATTGGCCGTTCAATTTTAATTTATGTTTGTTTCAACCGTTTTACCTGAAAAATTTACGATTTCCGAGTTATTCGTAAAAATGTGAAAGTTTTGACAGCTACTGGGTTCCACAGAAATCGATGCTGTACACTACCCGCTGCGAATTTTGGAAAACAGTTTTCAGCGATTCTAACAGAACATCATGATCTACGTGCAGATAT